CAAAGATTGAAGTTGATATCTATTAGAATACATTTCAACTTCAAAGGTTCTTAATAAAGCAAGACCCTTGCTGAGGGCTAGAGACACAGTATGGCAAGTAGGACACTTGCCTTGCACTCGGATGGCATGGGTTTGATCCTTGGAGCCCCACAAGATCCCGTGAGCCCACTAGGAGTGCCACCTGAGCACAGAGCCAGGAATCAGTACTGAACAGTGCTGAGTGAAAATAAAGCAAGCAAGCCAATAAAAAGCAAGGCCCTTGTCAATACTGAATTTTCCCCCTATTTTTCTGATCTCATTTGGCCTATGTCCATAATCCCTTTCTGGTTTCCCGTCTGTCTGAAATCATTTCATCTAGATATATGTCGACCATCTGTCCTTCCACAAATCAACTCCTTCTCAACAGGGGACAGGGTAGGAAAGAAAGACACATTGAGGACAAAGTCAGGAAAATCCTGGCCGACAGTTCTTTGGCATCTCTTGTCTGGTCCCTCTTGGCCTGCCCAGCAACCCCCTGGGGACAGCAAGAGCCAACAGCTTGTGTTGGTTTGGGAAAGTGGCAGTAGCTATGGAAGAGAAACCTTCCCTACTGTGCAGCGCTCCCCCACGCCCGAGACACAGAGCAGCAGTGCAAATGGTGGCTGGTGTCCTGCCGTGTGGACGTTCTGTGCCGCAGAACCAGGGGGTGGAATTTGAAGTGGAACCAAAGAGGTTTTATCTTGTGTTTTTGCTGCATTAAAATCAGTGCAAGCCACTTTTTTGAATAGGATTCAAATACCCAAATCAACGCTTTCTGCCTTATGACATTTGAAACAACCTGGAAGCCCCTCTTATGACCTTGAGGATTACATGCCCAGTTTTCCAGGAAAGTATCCACAGGATAGCACGGGCTTAGGGTGCGTGATCTCTTGAGACACAAGATGTACACAAGGGTCTGGTGAAAACTTTGCCTTCACCCAAAGTCCTTGAGAAACTCTCCAAATTCCCAAGCCTTAGTGTGATGGGTATTCAGTTAAGACATGTTTGCGTTGTTTTCTGTAAAGAATCGCAACTCTTCCATCCTCTTCCATGTTTAAGACCCAGGAATAGGGGCCAGAGACATGGTAACCCATGCCAACCCAGGCACCCCATATGGCCCCCTGAGCATCTCCAGGTGTGGCCCTGAAAAAAAGTCACTGTATCACTGTCATCCCACTGTTTATCGATTTACTCGAGCAGGCACTAGTAATGTCTCCATTCGCCCCAGCCCTGAGGTTTTAGCAGCCTCTCCTTACTCGTCCTTCCCAATGGTACTGTAGAGCTCTTTCAGGATCAGGGGAATGAGACCCGATATTGTTAGTGTTTTTGGTGGCTGTGCGATACATCATAAGACATTCCCTACCCATTTTCCATAATTGCCACACCATATTTGATTGGGTTCAGCCAATAGGCAACAAATCAGAGGGAAATTATGTGTGTGTGTGTGCGCACGCGCGCATACCTCTTGAAGAGCCTGGCAAGGAGAATATCCTGCTCACATGGCAGAGCCTGGCAAGTTACCCATGGCGTATTCGATATGCCAAAAACAGTAACATTAATGGCTCTGTCACTGTCCTCCCATTGTTCATCGAGTTGCTCGAGCGGGTCCAGTAACGTCTCCATTGCGACACTTGTTACTGTGTTTGGCATATCGAATACGTCATGAGTAGCTTGCCAGTCTTTGCCGTGTGGGCAAGATACTCTTGGTAGCTTGCAGGTCTCTCCAAGAGGGGCAGAGGAATCGAACCTGGGTCGGCCAGGTCAGCCGTGTGCAAGGCAAATGCCCTACCCGCTGTGCTATCACTCCAACCCAATGGCTCTAAAAATAATAATAAAAATATTTTTTAAAGAAAAGGAATAAGGCCATCTTGATACACACACACACACACACACACACACACACACACACAAAAGAAAGCTTTGATGTGGTTTATATTACATGGGGCAATTTATTATTTTTAATCCCTTTGAGTCCAGCCACCTAAAAAAAAGAAACAGCAAGAACAATAATAGAACAGATCACCCAATGAAAATGCATTTTCCAAAATATTCATTAAAAATACTTAACTGTAGGAATTGTTACTTGGAGAGGGTCACTAGCAGTTGTTTTTACTGGTTCTGAAACATATAACAGATCAGAGGTGAGACTTCATGTCCCTTGGGAGAACAGAGGAAAGGAGACCTTTCATGATCCCTGAGCCAGCAGCTTTTCTGCCAGTATTATGAACAAGAAAAATTTAACCTTGACTCAGTCTTATGGGCTAAAGCCTAAAATCCATCTGATTCAAACCTATGGGGTTTCTGCCCAGTTGTGGAATCTCCAAGATAAATTCTAAATTAATAAAACCTAGGAGGAAGAGCAGGGACACGCTTTTTCTTTCTTTCTTTTTTTTTTTTCATCTCTCTTGAGGAAACCCTCGAATGTACAGGACATCAGCAGTGTCCTGCCCGGGCATCACATTTCTGATTTAAATCTTGCAGAAAGTATTGCCATTTGCAGAACATTTATCAGCCTTCCATTCAGCTTGAAAATGGTAAATTGAACCATAAATCAAACTTAAATTGCATTCCCAAAACTTCTGGGACAGTCAGAAATTAATCAGCACTGTAGAAGTGATGAGACCAGTTGTAGTTACTGGTTTTGGCATATCGAATACACAGCGGATAGCTTGCCAGGCTCTTCCGTGCGGGCGGAATACTCTCGGTAGCTTGCCAGTCTTTCCGAGAGGGATAGAGGCTTTTGGGGTGACCTCTAATCACCCTTGTAGGTGTTACCATATTTGAACCCTATCAAATATGGTACGACAATTCCAGAAGATGGGTATTTAGTGTCTTAAGCGGCCATGCGGGTCCGGAAAGCGTCCTGGAGTGTGGCGACGGCTGGGTAGTGGAAGTAGTGTCCTTCCTGCATTAACATATGCCTCAGAGACCTGGGCCCTACGCAAACAAGATGAGGACGCTATTCAGGTCTCCCAAAGAAGAATAGAAAGAGCTATGCTTGGAATATCACGTTTCACTCAAATGAGAGAAAGAATCCGGAGTTCTGACATCCGTCGACGATCAAGGATCAGGGACGCTGTCTCATTTGCCAAGGTGTCGAAAATCAGATGGGCTGGTCACGTAATGAGATTTAAAGACGACCGCTGGACTAGAGCTGTCACCGACTGGATTCCACGGGATGTCAAAAGACCGCGTGGCCGCCCACCTACCAGATGGTCAGACTTCTTCGTCAAGATCATGAACAATCGGTTTGAGGCCCTTCATGTTCCTGGAGCGAAGAGATACCATTGGGCTACACTAGCACGCGACAGGGACAAATGGAGACGTTACTGGCGCCCGCTCGAGCAAATCGACGACTAACGGGAAGTTAAGTGATTAAGTGATTAAGTAGAAGTGATGGTATGATAGACATGAAATATTGAGCAGTTGAGTTAAGGAAGACACCGTCACTTAATATGGATGATGTTGATTTCTTTGGAAATCGTTTTCTTCTCACTTAAGTATGAGTGTGTAAGCCCTGTGACTGTGTAAGTTTACCCAGAAGAATGCAGTGCTGTCCTTTCAGATGAATATGTACTACAACCGCAAGGAAGGTTCAGATACTGAGCTAAAGCCATTGGCTTGAGAAAGAGCTGAGTTTGGGTCCCACTCCACCATCTGTCACTGTTTGTTGACTCGGTTTTCTCAGCTGTAAAAGGAAGCTAGTAAGGTTTAGTTTAGAAAGGTAAATGCAGGAATCTGCCAGTGAAGTAATCATTCAATGAGCATGACCCGGAGCGTGCACCCTCAGCAAATGGTTGCAGTCCTGAAAATACCTTCCTCGTGCCTTTCCAAGACACAGACTCAACAGTGAGGAAACAAATCAAGGTGTCTTGCCAGAAGGAGAAAATGAGAAAACAGAACATTTACTCTTGCCTATATACTTCCTTATTTTGTATCTTGTGTGTGATACTTAGCTCTCCATGAGATGAAGCACCTAAAGATAGAAATGTAGTCTCCTCTGCTCTGCAATGACTAACACAGTGTCAGACCACTAGTGACTGCATCAACAACTAGGAAACATTGTTGACATGACCCTATTTAACAGTGTCTTAAGTCTATATATATTCTCCTTCTGTGAAAACAGATGAGGCCCTGCTATGGAGGAAAAAGTTTTCTGGAAACTGTTATTTTCCATTAAAACCCATGGATAAATTTTGCCGTCTCCAGATCATTTTGTTTTCTAATTGGTTTCTGGGCTCATTTTAGCCACTTTATTATTTATGCATTTGGAAGTATCATTAACACTGCAGCTGCGACTGAAATAACTTTCTTGTCTCCGTTTTTAAAAGAAAATCATAGATTTCTGATGTAGTTTGGATAAGCTAGGGGTCCTTTATACTTAACCTTTCCATTTGTATCTTAAAATATATTTAATGACTTTTCCATAGCTTTGTGGTAACCAAGCATTTCTTATTCATGCATCTCATTATACTCTATGCTTCCCTCTCTCCCAAAGCTCTTTTGATATCCTACCATTTAGTTAATGTTTGAGAAAAAGAGAAAAATGGGTGGGGGCAGGGAGTTAGCAACCCTGTTACACCCATGAAGACAGTGAGACCCAGAGTAGCTGGGTGACTTTCTTGAATCACAAATAATTAGTGACAGAGAAGAAGAACCTAGAACTTCTGATGAATTTTTTTCAAATCTTAGAATCATAGATCAAAAATACATTCCTGGGGACATGTGTAAGCGTGTACATGTATAAGGCACTTGGCTTGCACAGTGCCATCCCAGGTTCACTCCCGGCACCTCGTAAGGTCCCTTAAGCCCACAGGACTGCAAAGCCCCCATCCGGGTACAGCGCCGGGCAAGCCCTGAGCATGGATGGATTTGCCCCTCACCAAGAAAAGAAAAATATATATATATCCCTAGCCATCAGCTATTCTCAGGCAGCATGCCAATCACTCTGCATTTGACTACAGGACTTCTTTTCTTCCCAGTTTGAACGCCATGGTCCCGTGGATGGGAGAATCACGGAGCGGCAGTTCGGGGGCATGCTGTTGGCCTATAGTGGGGTGCAGTCCAAGAAGCTGGTCACCATGCAAAAGCAGCTCAAGAAACACTTCAAGGATGGGAAGGTACCTGGGCCTGGCGGGGAGGGAACCATTGAAATAATTCAGTCATCTTAAAGATACACAAGGAAGTGTGTTGTTCTTACCATGACTGTCACATCTCTGATACTTGGCCTTAAAATGAGCAGTGGGTGAGGATGAGAAAGACCAAGTGTCCCAGGTTGCTTCTCATATAAAGGGAGTCACCGTGGACTAAGACAGAGAATTGAAAAAGAGGTACCTTGGGTCAGAGAGACAGTACAGGAGTATGTTTGCCTGGCACACAACCACTTTAGCAGCGACGCAGGTTCAATCCCTAGCACTGCATGTGGGCCCCCTGGCCCCCTGCTCTCACTCCTTAGCACACAGCCAGGAGTAAGCCCTGAACACCACCATGTGTGTTGAAAGCAAAGCAAAAAATCAACAGAAGAGGCTGGTTTAATGGGGAAGCTCAGTAACATACGTCTCACATTTACAGTGTATGGACAGTCTTAAGCAGAGAGGACAGGCAGGTCCAAATCTACTCTTCACATCACTTTAGAGGCCTGGGGGAATACGGTAATCATCAACTTTGCTAGTCAAGGTCAAACTAGTCAAGAACAGAAAGAATGGTGAACCCAGGGCTAACTCCAGGGACACCCAACATGAAAGCAATTCAGGAAGGAAGGAAGCTTATGGAGAGCACTCAGAGAAATGCCTGGGGAAAGAAGTGAACTCAGAACCAGGGATGCAGAAGGTTCAGGTTGTGAGGGGTCTCCCGTGTCACATGCCGCAGGGTGTCTGGTGAGCTCAGGTAACTGACACCCTTTGTTTTGGGGAAGGTGCTAGCGAAGGATGATCCTGGGGAGCTGTTTCACTCTGTGCTTCTCTTGTTTCTGGGTTTTCAAGGCAACATAGTTGCAGTAGCCTTAATGCTCGTGTTGTCAGCAGTATTACCACCCACACCCCTTCCCTTCTCTCATTCCCCTCATTAGCAGACTCAACCGGAGGCACTGTTTCATTCAAGAGAGGACAGCTTAGAAAGTAAGGAGGTGGAGACCGCAGAGGAGGAAGAGAGGCGATCCAACAGAAGCAGGAATGTTAAAATGTCAGAGGCCATGTTCTGTTCTGCTTTAACAATGCCCAAGGCTGGTGGCTTACACACCAGGCGTTTATTTCACTGTTGAGGGCCGATGTGCATATCAAGATAGTGGCCAGCCTGTTTTTCAACAAGGGCACTTTTCCTGATCTGTCGACAGCTGCCTTCTTGCCATGTCCTCCTGGGGCCTCTCCTTGGTCTTTGCATGCAGAGAGAGACAGCAAGGGCTTGCTAATCGAGTGTTTTCTTAGATGGATGTTCATCTTATTGGCTCGTTGGCTTACTGGCTCAGGCCCTATCCTTATGACCTTATTTAACTATAACTTGACTTAGCAGGTCCCATTTTCTTATAGTCACAAGAGTTACTGAGGGCCTCACTATAAATGATTTTTAGGGAACCCAGTATTCAGCCCAGACAGAATGGGCTGAAGAGACTAATCTGGCATGTCGAGGGTCTGAAAGGAGGCTAGTGGCCTGCGCAGGCAAGCCAGCGAGGGATGGCCTGAAATGAAGTCAAGAGGACTCCTGGGAATGGATGAGTTCAGGCTTTGTTCACAGTTCACTGAGAAGCAGTTTTGAAGCCTGTGCTCAGCACGATGATATAGCTGTGTTTGTGTTCAGAGAGACAGCCCCCAGTGAGAGAGGCAGTTCATTAGGCTGGAGTACATGCTTTGTATAGGGAGTCCCAAGTTTGATCCCCAGCACCTCATAGTTCCCTGAGCACTACCAGGAGTGACCCATGAGTACAGAACTTGGAGTCACCCTGAGCACTGCCAAAACTCCTGTGACTTTTAAACAATTTAAATTAAAAGGAAAAAGAAAACAACCATCCTAACTGTTTTATTTATCCAATATGCTGAAATTATTAGAGAGTTCAGGAAGAGATAATTAAGCAATATTTGGGGGCCACATTGACACTGGTGATGAGAGATTGTGGGGGCACAAGTCATCAGTCCTCTCACCGACAGCTGTGCCTAGTGCAGCGGAGGTAGGTGGCAAGTGTATGCTAATATCTGGGGTGTTGGCATGGTGATAATGGACAAGTTGAAGCAGGAGCTAGCTAACAGGCTTGACTTCTTAAAATTCACACTCATACAAGCATGTGTGCATACATACAATATTTTGTTGTTCGTGTTTTGTTTTTCAGTCCTGGAGTCACATCTGGTAATGCTCAGAGATTACTTCTACCTCTGCTCTCAGATAGAATGCTAGGAATTGAACCAGGTTTGGTGTGTGCAACGCAGACACCTTACCTGCTATACACTCTCCAGCCCCTGATTCTATTTTTCTTTTTCTTTTTTTGTTTTATTTTGTGTTTTGCTTTGTTTTTGGGCCACACCCACCAGGACTCAGAGCTACTCCTGGCTCTGTGCTCAGGGATCAAATCTGGGTCAGCAGTGTGCGAAGCAAGGGCCCTACCCACTGAAATATCTCTCCAGCACCTATACAGTTCTAGAGCTAGAATCTAGACACATAAGCAGACCCCTAATATTTCCAGGACAAAACCCCAGATTTTTCGTTCTCATCTCAACACCATTCCCACGGTGCTGATGGCTAACCACCATGAACAGGAAATTGACCTGGCATTCAGACTACTGCAGGTGGGGCCAGGGTGATAGCTTGGGGGTCAAGGGCATATAACTTGTATGTGCTAGGACATGACTTCCATCCCTGGCACTGCGTGTTCCCAATCCCCAGCATTTCAGATGTAACCCCAGCGGTCCTCAGCACCTCTGGGCCTGCGCAGTGCTTCCTTGCTGGGGCCATGAAGCATGCAGCATGGCTCACTAACACCTCCCGGTGATACCCCAGACCCTCCCCTCTGGTCACTGTGTGGAAGCCCCCCAAAAGAGAATCCGTGAGGAAAGAAAATATATTGGATCCCCATGGTCATGTGGTACCGTGTGGCAGAGAGGGATTTCAGAGCCTGCATTTGGATCCTGCTGCAGGTTTCCAGGGGCTTTTGCCGAGTCACTGAGTCTGAGTCTCCTCCTGAACCGAGAGGCTTGTCCTGGGTGGGTGCTGGAGGAGCCTTTTGGTGATGGGCAGAAAAGCGTGAAAGGCAGGAACTGAAAGACACAGCAATTTTTGGTGTCAATCTCTGCTTGCTGGCTTTTAATCTTGTATGAGAAATCTCCCATGAACAGCCTTTCCCCAATTGGGTGGGGAGCAATTCTAACAGGACAGATTTGTAGATTAGATATAGAACAGATGTCCGCCCTCTCTCTGCAGCACACTCCCTTGGCACCAAAGAAAGTATTATGTGAACATAAATTAACGGAAAAGTGCTCTCCCAAAAAAAGCACTTCTGATACTCCCCAGCAACTAGCTCATTGCTATTCGTAATTGTAAAGGTAAAGGCCCTCCCGTTGATCGTCGATTTGCTCGAGTGGGCCCAGTAACGTCTCCATTGGAGACTTTGTTGTTACTGTGTTTGGCATATCGAATACTCTCGGTAGCTTGCCGGGCTCTCCGAGAGGGGCGGAGGAATCGAACTCGGGTCGGCCATGTTGGCTGCGTGCAAGGCAAACGCCCTACCACTGTGCTATCGCTCCAGTAATTTCAGAAAATGGGTGGCAAAATAGAAAGTCGGTTTTTAAGTCCTGAATTGCCAGTGTCTGCATTCGGAAACACTCCTTTATTTTGACCAGACACACCTTGAAATTTGAGTCTGAGGCCAGAGAGCTGCTACAGGGGGTAAGGCACTTGCTTGGCATCTGCAGCTGCCTCCAGCCTTGAGAGCAGATGAATGAACGGGGGTGGGGGAATCCTCTTCAAAAAAGCATTTGCTTAAGACTTGACGTGAGGTCAGAGCTAGAGAGCCAGGAGTAAGCCCTGAGCACTACTGGTTGTGGCCCAAAAATAAAAACAAAATAAAACAAGAACTGACCGACCTGAGGGAAACCATCATAAGAGGCCAACTCATGCTTCATTATGATTTTTTGAGTTTTTGTTTGTTTGTTTGTTTGTTTTGTTTCCAGGGCCAGGGGCTACTCTTTGCTTGGCACTCAGGTGTCACTCCTGGCAGTGCTTGGGGGACTGTAGTAGCAGGGATCAAACCCAGAGCTCCAGCAGGCAAAGCACCTGCTTCCGTCCTTTGTATTTAAAAGCAGTAAATTGGGTGCTGGAGACACCTTCCTTGAAGGAGCAGAGTGTTTTAACTTTGGCCGAAGACAATTTAGGGCCTGAAGACCTGGCAAAAAAAAAGACAGATGTTGATGATGAAAATCTAGGGTGCTAAATTCCCTTGCCCAGAATATCTAGCCTGCTCAGCAGGGAGATGGAGATTGATTGCCCTCTTGATGAAATGGTTTGTGAGCACAGCAATTAGCTCAGTTAGAGTTAATGAAGGGGTTTCCCTCCGAAGGCTGCCAGTCCATCTCTCTCGGATTGTTTCTCATTAAACTGGAATCACCCTCTGCTTTCTCATGGCTGCTTTCATTCCTCTTGGAATTTGTTAACAGGAAAGTGTAAGGTTTCATTTGGCTAATGACTTTAAAAGTTAATCATTTTTGTGTGGGAGATTTTATATGAAATAGCAAATCAGACCTAAAAAATGGAAAGCCCCTCCTGGTTATGGTCATAATCTCTTTTTTTTATCTAAAGCAGAGCTTCTCATCCAGTCATCCAATAGACCAGTTGGAGAATTTGTAAGAAATCTATTTGTTAGACTAAAGGGTTAGCTTAACATATGTTGCATATAGGAGTTCGATCCCCTATACCACATGTTTTTCTGAGCACCGCCATGAGTGGCCCCTGCACACTGAGCCGGGCAAAGCACCCTGCACTGTCAGTCTGCGGTCCCAAAAACAAAAAACAAAGAAAGTGGTTGTTGGAATTCTTCAAAACACTAAAATCAGTAGCTTTTTTAAAAAAGGTTCCCTGTGGGTCTAGGCCTGTTAGCTGCTCCCTGAGAGGTCCTTCCTCCAGTCCTGTCTCCTGCTATTCT